CCATGATTTCTTCCTTAATAATCTACCACAAAACAAAACTATACTGGTCCATTTCCCCATAAACTTCTCCAATACCTAAACGAAAGCATTTACTGAAAGATACTGGCACGTTTACAACTGAGCAGGACAAAAAAGCGTGTCTAATGTATTTGGACTTCTCTGGTGTATTTAAAGGTGTTCTACAGGTCCAGTAGGTCCCTAACTATGGTTTCAACGATGCACATGGGGAAAACAGGAATATATTTCCATTTAACGAAATTGGTCTTAAGCAGTTATCTTTAAACGAGTAACTCCAAACAGCACACATTGACTGGTTTTGCCATGCAGCTTGTGGCCACCGCTACTACTTTTTTGAGGGAGGGTGGCAGAAATTCTCTGTACAATTCACAGATTACCAATCTCAATGTTTCCACCCAGAAAAGTCATTAACACACAGCAAAAACCATCACTTCGTTTTGGGTGTATGTAAAGACCTGCTTGTCTTATCACCAAGATTAAAGTAAGCACCCCGCTACAAAACTACAAAAGAAAATTCATGCAGATGTTCTTTCCTTTTTGGTTTTCCTTTAATTTGCAAATCTTGTAATCTAAGACCAAAGTTGACTGGACCAACATCTAAACCAGCATAGCAGGATCAGCCAAAAAACACAATCTGTTTCCCATTTATGTGTCAAGACTGCATCCTTTTTGGGAGCTGAGAAAACTATTGTTTTGAAAAGATTATATAGTGAAACCACGCTAGACATTTCAGTCATTTTACTAGATGGAAAATTTGACTTCTAAAATACAAAAATGTGTGTACCAAAACCTAGTCAGAAACTCGGATACAAAGCAAAAGTTCAGAAAACAACTTCATCTTCCCTGGTAAAATACAAGGATTGAGGTTAGGAGCAAATCTCTCTCTACAGAATTTTTACATGAAGCAGATGCCAGAAATTAATTTCAAAGTACAAAGTTTAAAATTTTAGATAAACTAAAATAAGTTCTTTTAAAGCAAGTTCTCAACCATGACAGTCACAAATCAAGACTTAAAGTCAAGAAGTATTAAACTGAAAGTTAAGACCTTAATACTGATATTCTAAGGGATGTACATTTTATCAGCATATATTGTATCACTGACTACTGTATCAGGTTGCATTACAAAAGACACAACCCACACACCAAGTTACTCAGAGGTTGATTTCTAAGGGAATGCGTTGTTAAATCTGTGGGAGATAGACTAAAAGTTAACATTTTTAGAGCTGTCAAAAATCTGCAATTCAGTAAAACACTACTGAATCTCCAGGGCAAACTACTGTATTTCTGTTACTAAAGAGATCTTTCAGTGTGTAAATGACAATGAAAAAAAATCAGGAATAAAACAAATTTAAATATTTCTTTTAGGCAAACATTATTTGACATTAAGTACTTTTATACCCATATTTGTTTCATATTCAAGGAAAGAATTTCTAGCAAATTATCGCAGGCAAAATTACTCATTAATTTCTTTCCATTAAAAATACATGGTACATTAGAGAGAGAGTGAAAAACACTAAAGTTATTTAAGGTAAGTGGTATTTCTGAAGTTACTAACTCATGACTACTTGAAAATTATTTGGATTCCAGGTTGACAAGTGTTTTACATTAAAGAAAAGAACCTTTTAATCGTATTTTCCTCATTATAGTGTATTTACTCTACAGCTGAAGGAAAAGAGAAGACTTTCCTGATGGCAACCACTAATGCAGACTAGTGGTCAGAACCAGGAAATCCCAGCTCCTAGCTTGAACGTGTCAATATCTCATTGATGCAGTCCTAAGAGAGTACATACTATGAAATGACAGTGCAGCACAACTAGGTAAAAGCTACGTTCTATCAAATTTGTATTACTTTAGTGGTTTAGCATCTCTAATACTCTGAACTTGCTCATGTAATTTTCATCCCTGTTGAATTCAAATTTCTCAAAGATTTTTAAAATGCATCGGGACGTACAAACATGACTCCATAAAATCACAAAACATCAACACATTTGTAAGTACGATCACTCACCAAGCACGCAGAACTGTGTACACGCAGTATTAATAGCTCTTTAACACATCTTCTTCTACAGTCAAGAACTGCATGTGATAATTTATAGTAAGTCCTAAACTGTAATGAAGAGCTAATACTCTACTAGATTTTTATCACAAGTCAGGTCTAAAATGTACTTATTCTTCACCTTCCATCCAAAAAATTAACTTCAAAGCACTTTCTAAAAAAGCTACTGAAAGTGGATTCTACATAAATGTTTGCCAGGGAAAATAATTTAAATTAAGAGTATTGCCTCCAGACACAGCAGGGTCCAAAAATATTCTTCAACAGTAAGTCATAGTGCCAAACACTGAATTTTCCAAAATGTCCATGTCCCTTATTTATCAATAACAGATAACAATAAAAACTTAATTGCAAATGTCAAGACGACCAGGGACGTTCCAGGTAAAGTGTAACAACAGCTGCAAATGTCAGCAGAGCAACCACAAGTCAGAAATTCTGAAGAACTGCCAGGGAAAATCCAAATTATGAACAAGGCTGAAGAAGTCAAACTTGATTTCCCCAGAATCCCTCTCCTTGGTAAATGATTCTGACAGATCTGAGCCAATAACCTGTGTACCATTGGAATGGGAGCAAGCCAGAGGACTCTTGGAAGCAGCAGAGTCACTCCAGGAGTTCACACACTTCTCCTTTTAAAAAAGTGTCCTAGTGAGGAGGAAGAGAAAAGGAGGACTCATGCTGGCAAAATAGTTCTGGATATCAGCCCCATTGTCACAATCATGTTCACGAGATTTTGTTCAGTTTATATTCAAGAAAGACAACGTAGTTTAAATGTATCAGCATCACAGATTGTGTGCTGGAAGACTTGGATTTCACTTGGGGATCTGCTTTGGACTAGTTGCCTTTGAGAAAATCATCCAGTCTTTCAGATGCTCTGTTTACCTTTCTGGTTAGTGTCAGTGCTGTATCATTTCACCGATTATTTCACCTGCCATTGCAGCAGACAGAATAGGCCTCCTATTCCCCACATGTTTTCAGTAGCGTGCTGACAGCTGCAGTATTTCATGCCATAGCCAGCATAATCTCCAAAGTAGGTGAGGAGATGACTGCAGTGAATATATCAAGTGCTTTGAAATAAATCCTCTAGAATAAATGTGGTATTTTCTTCTGATACAAGATAAAACAAGGTGTTGTATCTGTCTGCAACCATTAAGATATACAGGAAATGATGTGAAGCGTAAAACCTCAAGTTAAAAACAGAACTAAAATTGTGATTCGGGTTCAGAAGCCATTGTGACACAGCTGTTTGAGTGTCTTACACCAAACCTTCCTTATGCATAACAATTATTACATTAGTGTGATCAAATGATCTATGGATGTAAAGAGAAGAAAAAGCAAGTGTGGCGCTTGAGCCAATTTAAAGGAGTGTGACTCCAGCTGAGGGCAAACTATCCAAGAACTCTTCATCTGCAAGCTACTGATGAAAGAGGTGATTTGCAAGGGCCTTTCAAAACTAACTTGCAGTGAACAGTAAATGCAGAAGTGTTTCACCATTCTCTGCAGGAGGTTTACCACCCTGAGCAAACTGCTTCTTCATTAAATGGGTTAACAAAAGCCTGTAGCAGCCTCTTTTTGGATGGTGTGCAGTGGTGTGTTCTGGTCACAGCAGGAGGCCAAATTTAAACTTCTTTATTTGCAGGTATTTATCTACTGAGAAGTGGTAACACAAATCTATCCATTCATTTTGAAAACATACAAGCTTTTTGTTTTTTCTACAGAAAAGCAAAAACTACCAATGATCTTTAAAGTACTCCCATGAACTGGGGAATAAAATATACAGTGCAAATAACAGCTCTTACAGTTTCTTCATTTCTCAGGTATCTCAACTTCCAAAGCAAAGGTATGAAGAAAAGGGTTTTTTCCATCCAACACATCCTTTACATATATAAATACACTGTTTGGATTAAGACAGAAAGACCTAGAAGAGCAGTATTTGCACCACCAATTACATGCACTTTTATTTAGAAAAAGTAATTCACAAGATTACAGACACTTAGGGGAGGAGGAAGGAGAAAAGGTGCCATAAACAGCTTTGCAAGTAGTAAACACATCAACAGGTACACATTTCACTTCTCTATCCAGCATGGGTTTTGTTTTAAACATTTAAGACAGGTAACATTAATAGTCCAGTTTAACACATAATGATACATATAGAGAAAACTAGAGCTTTGATAGTCCTCCTCCACACCCAGCACGGTTAAATTCATAATTGAAAAGGTGTGGCACAGAATTAGTTTTACTACTGTAAGAAGATTTACTTCAACTCTTTAGCCCTTCAATCTCTGTGTAGAAGATTACCCTTGAAAAGGAAGTATTTTCCTATAGGTACAGATATAAATACTTTGCATCATCCAAATCAACGCATCTAACACAGACATTAAATACCTTAAGACTTTATTTTGTAAGAGGAGTGATCCAATGATACTGTGCTGGGAGCACGAGACTGTTCACTTGTTTTTCCAACTCGAAGAAGTAGATTTAACAACTATCCTGCTAATAAACAGTGAGTGGCTGTAACAACGAAATTCCTTGGTGCTTGTAATTAATTTGGTATACGAGTGCTGCTTGCAAGCAACTTTTAATTACTTTTTAGGAAACAGATATTACTTCATACACTTCTCAGTAATAATACTGACCAGGACAAATATCAAAAAAAGGCTAATCATAAAACTGTGATTACACCGAGAACAAAACAAACCCCAAATATCTCTTCATCTATTTTATATCAGGTCTCTATTTTTTTAGTCCTTCTAAAAAGCTAAAGTCATAGGCAAATGTGTGCTGACACACTGAAAAAAACTTCACAAGTACTTCACACTGTTATTCCATTTAGCAGTGAAGGAAGAAAGCTTTACAGATGTCATCTACTGCATTTTCTTAGATGACATTACAAACTACATATAAAGACTTGATTCACGAAAAGCATTCTTACCCAGAAGATCCAATGCTTTTGCACACACCAAGAAGAGGCCGCTTTTCAGAAAAATTATCACATTTCTGAGCACCTAGTAAGAGGAAAAGCAAAAAAAAAAAGAAAAAGCAAATCACTATGTGCTGTTTGTGTTGTGTGTCGAAGTACACACGTGCACACTGTGGGGGCCCAATATGCTGAAAGGATAGCGAATACAATACAAAGCTCACAGCCTAGACAAGATTAGTGATAGAAATACAAATAGCAGGCAGTCATGAACACTGAAGAACTGTTCTTGAAAGAGACAGCAATGAGGAACAAAACAAGCAGCAAAATCTGGCCAGGATTCTGGAGCTATTTTCTATTCATTTCAGTTGGGGTTACGGATTTTGTTACTGTAACAAGTAACACTTGCTCACTTTTCATTGTTTTATGGAAGCAGTCTGTAATAGGGCTGTCACCAGCTCAGTGTGGGTTTCACACATTGGTTTCCAACTTGTTCCACTGAGGTGTAAGTGCAGTCTAAGAGCATGAACCGTAACAGCACAGCAAAGAGCAGCCGCTCTCCTCAGCTTGGGACAAGCTGGGCTGCCAGCATTTGCCCAAAGGAGGGCCATGCTTACAGCCCGTGCCCTGCACCTAACGAAATACCAGATTACAATCAAAACAGCCCTCAGTAGGTTTTGCCACCAAGTGATTGAAGAGAAAGCAACCTCCAGCAAGACTCAGACTACACCTGCTATATTCCCTCAAGTTGAAAACACAGCTCCAGCACCACGTCCCATCTACTTTTAAGGTTGCTTCACCAGGTAACACCAGCGCAGCCCCAGAGTTTGGCACGGGCTCCTCCTCCGCCCCGATTCAGCTGCTGAGACCCTGCTGCCTGCTCTGGGATCCGCGGGTTCCACCACCAGAGCCAGGCAATGAAAACCAGGCTTTTGCCTGCCCAAACTGCACTCGCCTCCGCTCCAGAACCATCCACTTGCTAAATATGCCACGCTTCTTAAAATGGGATTTCAGAAGTTTTGAAACCTTTGCCTCATTGCTACAATCAACAGAAATAAAACTAAAATTGAGTTAAAAAAAAAAAATCTCTTTTTCACTTGTGAATAAAGTTTATTAAATTCATGGGTGTGTTTTCTAGCCAACTTAAAGAACTGAAGAATAATCAACAACAATACCACCACTGGATTTCCTGTTTTCTTTCAGCCTTAGCCTCTTTAACTATCTATTTCTCTATCTATAGGTATGTATGTGTGTGGTGAATAACAGAATTATTTTTTTTCCTCCATTATATACAAAACCCTTTGATCTATAAAGAATATCAGTGATATAGCCTGTTCAAAATTTAATTTGCAAATACTGGTGTACTGCACTAAATCAATTATTCAGAAAGGCACAACAATTAACAATGTATTTTTTCGCATAACAGTCTCTGTTAATTATTAATAACTCAGGTACACGCAATTAATTTGTAACAAAAACTGTTCAGTACCCTCCTCTGTACAAGGATAAGTCTTCCCTCCTACACTTTTGGGTATTTATAAAGTCAAATGGGTCACATCAATAATTTCACCATCAACAATAGCTTTGCAAGTGACTTAAACCAGCCAAATGCATTTTCCTTTTATTCCTATTCTTCCCAGGGCTTTTATGAGTCATACCTGTACTGCACGTACTGACCTGTGAACTGACACATGAAACAGAGTCTCCTGCAGAATCTGGCACCCAACCCGTTTCCTCCCGTTCCAGGAACAGATGAACTCCACTTGCTCCTGGTCACGGAGCTGGGCTCTAGCACTACGGGCGAAATGCGGACTACCAGGAGTGCTGACACTGACCTAAGCAGAGCCAGGATTTTACCTGAAGTATTCACCTCTATTTGTTTCTTTTAAAACTAGGATATATTAGAGATATGAATTCATGGTTTTTCATGGTCGAGGTCTAAGTTTAACAACAAAGAAGGAGGAGCAAGGGGAAGAAAGGTGGTGGGGAGTACAGGGAAACAACTGCACGAAATCTAAAGGAACACCAGTTTTTAATACCCACCATACAGATGTGTACAATTTGTACAACTGGTGCTTCAACCTCTGGCTTCGGTCTGTAATGACCGAGGTCCTCATTTAAAAATAAAAATCCATTTTCTACTTCAAATACATACTTTCATAACGTAAATAGTAATACTGCAGGAAAGGATCATTATTTTGAGGACTCTGCAGGGCATTAAATCAGGTTAATAGCGGTCCCATTCATGAGATTGCAAAAAGCGACATGTGTTGTACTCTGCAATGCTTAATGGAGTCGGCAACCCTTTCTCGTTCTGCAACGGGATTTAATCTCCCAAGTTATGGTGGATTAATTTTTATTTGTAAAATTGTGTTTATTTGCATGTGCGATACAGTGACGTTGTACACACCTGCTCCCACACAGTGTTTAACAAAATGCAGAAGGATGATTGAAATGAAAAACAGCCAGCTAAATCCGCAAAATACAAAGAGTACTGAAATCCTGTTGCAAAGTCTTTTTCTTAAACTCCTTTTATTCTAAATCCTTTTAATTCTGTCATATAACACTACAGCATTTATAAAAAGCTGGAAATCCTGACAAATCACACAATTAAAGTAATGAAAACTGTCCTTCCTGCCAACAAGGCACCACCTTATCTACAGCTCCATTTAGTTAAATGATGAATGTTTTCTGAAAAAAACCCAAAAACCTAACTTCAGTTAGTATACTTAAATGGGAAAAAAAAAATCTGTGGCTAAATGAAATTTCAAACAAATCAACATTTAGAACTTGCTGAAGTCAAAAGGTTATCCACACAAGCTCAAAGCAGCTTATGCACTGTACTTCTGATGAAGCTGTGAGCAGGTATCTCTTGGGCCTACCAAGGCCTCTCAATGACGCCCATAACAACACCACAACAGCAGCAGAAACACCTCTTTGAAGAATAGAAATGAAACTCCAGCGATTTTCACAGGAACTCAAAAGCTACTCGAAACCAGGTGAAGGTACCCTCGCTTCCCTTGAGTAAGAAATGCACTGCGTAAATCTCAAATCTGACCTTTTTCGCAATAGCTCATACACACGATGAGGTGTATCTTCGTGGTGTGTAATTCCACTGATCATCACAGCCATTTAATAATGTAGTGCAACTCCTGTTTAACTAAGCCCCTCTTATTTCTATCTGTTACTTGAAAATTGTCTTGCATCTGTGATCCCGCCCCACGTCACTGTTGTAGCCAAGCAGTATCTGGAAGTGACTCCGTGTCACACCACGGCTGCTGTCCTCAGCCCAGATCTCTGGGTGTCCTTTAGGGCTGGGGGTCCAGACGGGGAGCATCACCTTATTCTGTCTCCCTTAACTCCCAGCATCATGCAGACATCTCACTTCTCAAAGTCCCTCTCCAATACCTGCATCACCGAACCTCTTTCTTACATCCAACATTACTGCCCTAGAATCCCTTCAGCTCCAGTTGATTTCCACATCTCCTGCCTCCTCAGCCCATTCCACCCTCCCATTTTTGTTCATAGAAAGACGGGTTTTTCTTCTGCACGGCACCACAGTTTTATTCTCTGGTAACTATGTAGTTTCTATATTAAAAAATGAAAAGATGACCTTGAAACACTTGCTAGAGATCAACATTTCTAGAGTCCCACATTAACTGAACACAGAAATATTTTGAGTGAATCTTGTTTGAATCCAGTCTAACATGATGAAAGTTTAAGGTCTAAAGCATTGACATGACGTGGTCAGAAGCGGTGGGACACAGGTCAGTCCACACAGCTTCAAAGAAATTTGTGTTTTAAAATGTCATGCTCAAAAATTCTTCCCTATAATCTCTATAAAAGGCTTACTTGCCATGCTTGAGAATGCTGTTCTGTAATTTCTACAATCCACACACATTAACATCCATTACAGGACGACAACCCACACCAGAACCAAGATGCACACCTGCACGACCCACCTACAGAGCCCCAGCCGAGCTCCAAGTGCCCTGCGTGCTCAGCTCGTGGGGCTCCTCTGCTACACGCACCCTGCAATTATTTTGGCCTTCAGGGACTCAAAACCACTAAGCCACCCAAGTGGTTGAACATACACAAAGCTCACATCTGCCTTCCTTTAGAAAGCAACCTCAATATTATAGCTCTTTTAAGTGTACCTGCACGTAAAGTTGAGTCAGCTTTTGAGGTTCAAATTTTATTTTACCGATGTCAAAGCCGTAAGCAGTGCAGAACAGAGAGAAATCTGCTGCAAGATTTAAACTTGCAACAGTTTCACGTTTTCAAATGCAAACCTACTGTGCCCCAATTAATTCTAGCTTTTCCTGTTAATTCTAGTTTTCAACTCTTCATCCATGAGGTCCCCTTGGTTCATAGTTGTTTTAAACACACTACTTCTGATTTCTTTCACTTTTCCCTTATCAGTCAATTTGGCTAAGCAGTCAAATTCATGGAGAGACACAAGACTATTATATCATCTTTTCTGCGAGAAGCACAATCTAGAAAGTGGCAATAAATTAATTCAGTTCCCTGGGAGAATTTATTTTCATAATGCTAAGACATGGAAATAGGTTTTACAGACAAGAACCGATGTAAACTTCACCACACGAGCCCGTCATCACGTACCCTTTAGCCATGAATTACCACACACAATGCTGCTCCTGCTTTCCCTCGTTTCTTGATCAACTTTAAACTATGCAAGCCTACCTTAATAAATGGGACAGCACAAGGCAGAAAGCAGGTATTTGGCCAGGGTTTTGTAAAATGACCTAGGATAAGTAATGAAAAACAGGAAACCGCAGCACTAACTCACTTCAGAAAGCAGCAATATTCTGATTTTGTAGGAAAAAGAACAGCAAAGCTATCTGAAGTAAATTTATTATTTCCTTAGGGCTGATTTCAAAGGTATATATGCCTCAAAATGAAGTCGAAACACAGAGAATTTTTTAAAATATAAGAAGAGCTCTGAATCTTTTTTATTAATGACTTCACAGGCCAAGGAACACACAACTACTCCAGAAAAACTAAATATGGAAATATAAAAAATATTATGTAAGTATCACGAAATGCTAATCAAAAGAGAAAAAGCAAAAGACAAATGTGGCAACAGCCAAGACAGAATACTGAAACTCAGTACCATTTCTGCAAGCATGCATTCACACAGCCAGTCACCTCGGAAAAAATGAGAAAGGCATCATCTAGGGGAATTAGTGAAAAATTAGAAAGCTTGCTGAACTCAGTATAGGAAGAATTAGGTTGGTGTGGCTACAGAGAGCCACTACGTGTTGTGTGAGAGGAGGAAGCCCAATACAAAGTAACGTGAGCAGCAGTGAGGACACCACAAATATGAATCCCATGAAATGGAGGAGGGAGACACCACATGCTGGTTTCTGCTCGGTTCCTATCATTAACTACAATGATTTTCACCAACCATAGCTTTCCCTTCACAGAGAACAGCAGCTAAATTTAACTGGCAGAGTTGCAGCTTTGTTTTACATCTACCACTCAATATTTTCTCCCTTCTAATAATCACAAAGTCACATCAATTTGTCTTCAAATACATCTTTGTATACTTGTTTTAACTGAAGAGACAGAGATATCCAGAGCCCAGCAGCCCAGGCTGCTATACATATAAATAAATGCTAAACTCAATCACGGCACACAGACTGGAAAGTGAAGAGGTAGGCAAGTTAAAGAGCCATGCCAACCAGATGGCTCAGCAGATAATGCAGCTTACGGCACGCAAAGTGCCAGGACACAGCATTCCCATTTCTAAGGTTGACAGTGTCCAGACAGATAGGTTCCCATACTCTGAATATTAGCTATGCAACTTTATCTTCTCCTTTAAAGCCCAAGATGTGGCCACAGTGTAAACCTCAAGTCTCCAGAAAGGTGATTATATTGCAAGTGTAGAAAATAATCAAAGCTGTATCTGTCGTTGAAGGCAACAGTAGATACTATCTGCCCACAGAGCAGAGCTTAATATCTTCATTTTTCAGTGTTATTTACAGAAATCTCCCAATTCTTTATGGACATCTTATCCAGGCTGCAGACCAACCATGCCATGAACACAGACACGTACAAGCGCTGCAGTGCCAGGCAAGGGCAGGTAGTGCCTGGTTTTGGCTCAGACAAAGCCCTGCACCATCCCTGCGGTGTAGCTGCCAGGTCAGGACAGGTCCCAGAGCCGCTGAACTGCTCCAGCACGGCACAGGGCCTGATCAAACCTCACCGGATCCGAGCTGGCAGTGGGCAAGGCCGGCTCCCGATACTGCACCACATTCCTCCTCC